TCGGCACAATTGTCCTAATGTGAGCTATATCTCATCCTTAACAGTTTTATCTCGTTGCAAAGGCCAGCTTCTTGCTTTATTTGTCACGGCTGGCATTTGTTATCCCGGGCCATCAAAAGATGTTTTTTGCTGAGGAAAGTCTGTAATAATCTTGTACCAGAATCTAACAGAATGTAGCTGGGATGTTGTGACAAAGTTCAATGAGTGTTACTACTTATTTCAGCACTACCCTGCAGTTGCACTTGGTGTTGCTTTTCAGAGGAAAATATGCTTTCTGCTTTTGTTCATCGCTTATCTTTGCATGCAAATAACAAATAATTCCTTTCTGTGCTAACTCTCCAATTGTTCTCGTTTTCTTGAAGGAAGTGACCGTGGAAATAACTCAAGATAGTAACTTGGTTGTTTGAGGCAATGGTGACAAGCTTGTCCAGTCCCGCCTGTAGGCTTAAGTTGTTGTTAAGTTGCTCTGAACTTGAGTCACGCCAATTGTAGTTGCAAGAAGTATTGCACTGGTGCGTGTGCACGTCTCTTCAGTTTTGGAGTCCGGTCCCTCGGGTGGGTGCCTCTGGGTCCCTTACCTTTGAGCCTTGTCTGGAGAAGAAAGAGATTCCGTGTTTTGTTTAGTCCTCCAGCTTGCGAGTCTCTTACGAAAGATATCGTGCGGCTGCCGGTTCTCCTTATTTCAAGAATGCACTGCAGATCCAGTGTGCCTTCCTGGTGGCACAGGAATCGGAAGTGGAAATTAAATCTTGTCGATTAATCGTTACGTCAGCTTGATGTAGGCAGGATTACCTGTGGAAGAGCACCAAATGCGTGGGTGTTCGCGTTACCCTGTCTGTGTAGCTTATGGCTTTTATCGGTGTACATGATGGAGGGGAGGTCTTTAACAGTACAGTTGCACCGTAAAGAAACTAGCAGATAAATGTACTTGATTTCTGGTGTTTGCCATCTCAGTTTCAGTATTTTGTTTCTGCCTAGTATGTATGCGAGTGCCTCGAGCCATAGGTTCTCATTAAGACACTTTCCCAATGGCTGCTCAGGCTGATCTAAGAATGTGGCTCATTTCATTCCAGTGAGAAGAGCGCTCAGATCCTTCTTTCTTAGCCGTTATTCCTTGACCCTTGAGTATGTACCGATGAAAACTGGAAAAATAGCTTTTGTAGAGTATGTGTGTCTATGGGGCTTCTGTTAGTGCCTGGTAAAACATGGAGATACTGTTCTTTTTGAGTTCGGACTATTTAAATTGTTGATGCCAATGCCTTGGGTTTGGGCTTAAATTTCACGGGTGCCTTTACCTCCAAACCCCTCGGGCCTGCTCAGACTCGGGTCCTTGACTTTAAGGAGGTGCTATACTAATTGGGACACGTGGAGATTTTAATCTTTTTAAAACCTGGTTTCATGGCACCCATGTTAATAGCAAGGAGTACCTGCATTTTTATTTTATTGCCTTTTAATGACTTGGAGACCTGAACAGTTCATTAAGCCTCTGCTACCCCTACTGAGATCGCTGAAGAGATAATGAAAGGAAATAATACTGATACAGGTGAAGAATTGTACTGAGACATCCTGTAAAATACTGTGATTCTGTGATGCAAATCAATAGCGCTGTCACGTGAAATATGGACAGAGGTGGATGGTACTCATCTCTCTGAGCATGTAAACCAACTTCTGTTTCAGGTCGTTAGGGAAGAATTGGCTGTGTGTGATCATTGCATACTTGCCTTTCTCAGATTTTCTGAAAGGTTTCGGCGCCCTTTCCTGAAATAGCACAGCTTCCAATGAAGAAAAGATCTAGTGTGATACAGATCTGATGTAGTGTAATGACTTGTCGCAGATTATTATGTTTTGTATCCAGAGGCATTTTCAGTGTTCCTTGTGGTATGCCAGCAATTTGTTAACATATGTAGTTTGCTTATTGCTGTATTCATAAGAATGTGCGCTGGCTGTGATCTGCTTTTTAATAGGTTCTTTTTAAAAAAAAAATTGTGATGAAGCTCCGTCCTTGTGTGTTCTCACAAGTGCTTGTGGTGAAGATCGTCTCACCCATTTTCTGTTCATCATCTGCTTGTGGGGCAGGGGAGCAAAAAAAAAAGAATAGTCTCACCTGTAGAAACTGAGGTCCTTGTGCTTTTAAGGTTGGTTTCTAAGTAAAATTCCCACATGCGTGCCATTGCTGTAGTATGAGTCATGTTAGGAGGATTCCCAAATTGCTCAGATTTTGTTTCTTTGGAGGTTCCCACTTTGAACATGCACAGGGCTCAAGCCTTTGATGTCCCTTAGTATTTTTGACATTCGGTTTTGGGTCAGCTTATCAAAATTACTTCCCCTGGGGGGAATACTGTATTTCAGAGTCTTGGAAGGTTATAATAAAAATTTTGGATAATCCTAAAATAAGTTTTCTGATTTCTCGTCTCAGGTTCAAAACTTTTATTTCGGGCTTTGCCTGCTGCCTTGCGTACAAGTTATCGAGACCGTGGCTTCAAGAGTGATTCCTGGCTAACTGTATTTGGGAACAGTTCTTGGTATTGTCTTGTGGCTTGGATTGCTGGGTTGGGATTATTTTGACGTCCATTGAGTGTAAACTATTTGAGCTAAGTACTTGGGCTTTTTTTCTTCAGAGTTCCTTTTTGATGCAGGATCTGACACATTTGTGGCACCGTTCCTGTGTACGTTTTACCTTTATTACAGACCCTTCTTGAGCTGAGGTTGATCTCTCAATTTCACCTCACGTGCTGTATGTCCTGGCCAGCTGTAATTGCGAACAGTCCTTTGTATTGGCCCTTGGCTTGGGTTGACGGGTCGAGGTTATTTTGGTAAGAAAACAAAAATCGTGTTCTAGGATTATCTCCCAAGTTGGAAACTTGGGGTTTTGACTTGGTCGTCTTTGCCTGCTGCCTTGCCTACACATTTGTTTTTGGAGAGAGAAAGCAGATTAAGCTTTCTTTAGAGAACCGGAGGGAATCTCGTGATTGCAGACGCCGGTGTTCATGAGTGAGTTCAGCCTTCCTGACATGAGCTGGAAAGAGCAACATGTCGAATGCTGGCAAGCCATCGAAAAGACTTCCAACTTCCAGAGTGCTGAAGATCATTTTATGACGTGGATGATCTGCAAGACAGTGTGTAGATGTGTAGGAGCATAGCAAGTAAAACGAAGAACCGTTCGAAGCAGGGGGAATTGGGGGAATTATAGGTTGGCGGGCTTCTCCTTGATCCCTGGGAAGGCTTGTAAAGCAAGTCCTCTTGGGAGTTGTGTTCAGATCCGTGACGGACAAGAAAGTGTTTGGACCAGCCAGCGTGGATTTACCAAGGGCAAGTTATAGCTGACCAACTAGCTTGCCTTCTGCGATGACATGAATGACTCAGTGGATGAGGAAAGTGCAATAGATGTGGTTTACCTTGATTTCAGTAAGGCCTTGGTTTTCTGTGCTATGCTTGGAGCCTATTTGGACAGTTAGCCTATGAGGTGGGTGGGAAACTGTCTGGACAGCCAGTGTCGAAAGGTTGTGGTGAGCGATACAAAGTCCGACTGGTAGCTGGCTGCTTGCGCGGTTTCTCTGGGGGCAATACTGGGGATGATGCTGTTAAACGCTGTTTAACACCTTTCTCGTGACCTGGATGATGGGCTAAAGTGATCCGCAGCAAGTTTCTGGAGGGATAGGCTGGAGAAATGGGCTGAGAGGAACATCGCAAAGTTCAACAAAGGCAAATTACCAAGTTCTGCATGTGCATGCAAAAACTGCATGCAAAAGTAAAAGCTGGGAAACAAGTGGATACGAAGCAACTTTGCACAAATGGACCCTGGTGTCCTGGCAGAAAAGTTGAACTCGAGTCAGCAGCGTACCTTTGCAGTGATGAAGGGCGGTTGCGTTCTGGGCTGCGTAAGCAGGAGTGTGGTGAACAGAAGTGATTCTTCCTTTCCATCTGGACTCTTGTGACACCAGACCCAGAGTATTGCTCCCAGTTTTAACTCCTCAGTACAGGAAAGAAACCAACATGCTGGTATGGGTCTGGTGTTCGATCACCTGGATTGTTAGAGGATTGGAGCACCCGGAGAGAGGAGACTTTGAGAGGGCTGGGCTTGTTCAGCTTGAAGAACAGAGGACCGGAGAGGGGGCATGATATGTTACTGCTACCTTCAACTACCTGATGGGAGGGTGTCGATCCGTACTTCTCCAAGGCGCGCCACGTTAAAATGGCAGCCGACAGGCACAAATTGCAAATGGAAGTCTTGTTTACACGTTAGCAAATAACCTTATTCACAGCTTGTTTTAATGAGCAACATTAAAACAGTTAGAAACTGGTCGTGCTTTGCGCCCAGGGTTGAACCAGGTGACCCCCAGAAAGTCCTTTCCAACTTAAATTATTCTGTGACAAATGTGAAATGCAGTTAGCTAGGACAAGTGGTACCTAAGGCTTTAGTCGTCTCTGAGGCATAAAGGTTTACCTTCCCAGTCTTCAGGGAACGCGAATCCAGCCCCCGTAATTACTTCGGAATCTTGGTGCTACCATCTTTGTGTTACATATGTGACAGCAGCCTTTTGAAGCAGATGTGCTTTGAGATAAAGGAATGTTTCCAGCTGACTTAAGAAGGTGTATTCCCGTTTGTTTTGCGGTGCCGTTGAACTTGGATTTTTAATTGTTCATCAGTTTATTGCCAAAGGGTTAAATAAATGGTGCTGGATGTTTTTAACAGGGTTTTTGTTTGGTTTTTGGGGCTTTTTTGTTTGGTTGCTTTTTTTTAAAAAGCACCTGTTCTGCAAGGGACTTTGTTCCCACTGTTCCCTCTTTGTCAAAGTAATGCATGAATTGACTGAAATCTGTTTATTTACTCAGAGGAGGTGGGGGAGGGTGTCCTGAATTGGCGGAGTAGTTCTGTGTGAATTAAGTTCCTGTTCACATGATGGTTTCAATTCTAATATTATTATGCTCAACCTTTTATGGGGAAGGTGTGATGTATAGGGCTGTCTTCAAACTAACATGAATATTTTAAATTACAGCATTTGACACTGTGTACCAAAGAAATGGTGATGGAGAAGCCAAGTCCCCTGCTCGTAGGGCGGGAGTTCGTGAGACAGTACTACACTCTGCTAAATAAAGCTCCTGACTTCTTGCACAGGTAACGCTTTCACACACAAAGTGACTAATGTTTTTGAACAAAAGTATGTACTGTTCATTATAAATCAGATGAACGTTGATTTCTGAGTATAGGAGAAAACGGACCTGGCTAACTTTTGGGCTCTTGGAAAACTATTTCACCTTACTGAAAACTCCTTAGGCTCTAGAACCAAGTCTGATGGATGGATACATATGGATGTATGGCATGTTATCAGGGTATTTCCTGTGTGGGAAAGTGAGCTGCTTATCAGCTGATAAAATGGTAACGTGGACATATTCTAGAAATACTTTTCTAAAAAGACAGAAAAGAAAAGGAAAGAAAATGGCAGAGGAAGCACTTGCATTTAGTACCTAAGACAAGCATGCTAATTATTTCAGGATACCATATTTTGCATTGCCTCTGAGAAGTTTTTATCCAGATTGTGATTGGAGATTTAAGTATAAATGTCGTGGCCTGGACAAGGTAGGTGGAAAATACAGGAGGTTTTTTTTACCTGTGTCCGCTATTTAAATGGTACTCTGAATGGGCTTCTTCCTTCTGTTTTTTTTTTCCCCTTTTTTTTTCTTCCTTCTTTTTCTGGTTTTGATTGGCTACATACAGCTTGTCACTTAAGATTTTGCGTATCGACATTTGGACTTTGAGCATCATGGACTTGTAATAAATAAAAGTGAAAGTAGCTTAGCCAGCATATAAAAAGAAAAAAAGCAGTCGCTGCTTGGTTTGGTCTTGTCTCAGAACCTGACGTAAGGTTGATGGTGAAAAATTGGACTGTTTGATTGAGCACAAGTTAGAGCTCTCAGATGCCTTACTGAAGAATTCAGTCTTTTGAATAATGCCTCTTTTCATCTGTAACTTTGAGGTAGGGAAATTGAATGGTATCGTTTTTATTTAAATCACTTAACCGCTGTGGAGCCATGCTGTTTTCTGTGTTGAAATCTATTTTTAAGGTGTCTGAGCAGTGTATTGCAGGCTTTCCTAATCTATGTTTAGCAATCTAACAGAAGTTAAAAGCAGGATTTTTAGCAACGGCAGAATTTTTCCTCGCCCTCAAAACTTCAACAAATGAGTCAGATCAGATCGACAACTGGACAAGTATGTCCATGTAACACATCGATACCTGATATACAAACTGACAGCTCGCTCTGACCCAAGAACTGCGTTCCCTAGCTACGTATCATGCCTGGGTGTTTTCCCCAGGTGGCCTGGGAAAGGAACTCATGCCTTGGAGTTAGCTTCAGAAGCACCTCTTAGGCAGGTCTGTCAGCAGTTAGCATCTTGTCGATATCCATAACTATCCATTGCCTGTAAAGGTCAAGCAGTTGAAATTTTTAAGAGACTTGAAAGGGTGTGACTATACCAGTTTTTCAAGGCAACAGTTATGTTGTGAGCACACGGTGCAATGGAAATCCTGATATTGGAAGTGCAGGGTCATTTTTGAATGATAAAAAAGCCCGAGTTAGTAAGACAAGTTTCTTGTCAAGTGTGCTGTCATTTTGCTCTGAAACCCAGAAATTGTTTGCATAAACAAAGAGACAGAGAAGAGTTTATAAGGGATGATTAGGCCATGCTTCACAGCTTAATACCAAAGGCAGAGGGAGAATTGTATCGGTTCTACAGTGAGATTGCTTTTTCCTCTTGTAACATTTATTTTCAATGGCAGTTAAACTGTGTATTGGGGTAAGTCACGCCTGCCTCAAACTTGGTGTTGAAAATAGTCTTTGATTTTGCTCGTAAGAGCGTTTACCTGTAATGATAGTGACTGTAACCTTGGCGGGATTTGGAGGGGGAGCGTGTGTTTTGGTTTAAGAAGCAAAATACTGTCGGTATGTTTTTCCTCCCTAACTGCTTTAGTCAAAGAAGAGCAGCCAGCCGTTCCAGGTTTGCCTTCCCTCCTGCTTTCCCTTAGTATGGCAACATTACTTCCTTTGCCTCAATACTAACTCATGCTATGGGAGCATTACGGAGCTGGTGTTCCTGGCACATTTGGGATGTAGACTGGTGTTTCCAGACTGGGGTGACGTGAAATTGGCAGAAGGGTGGGTGTGAGGAAAAATGGTGTCTGCAGAGACATTTAGCCTGTTGATGACAACTTTGGTGCTTTATAGGAAGTACTAGGTATTACTCCCGCCCCTCTAAATCTCAAGCTTTACTCGAACAACTCTGCAATGCAGCTTTCCAAATTATGCTGTATGCGTGCTACGTTGAGTGGGAACGGGCAATTGTCCGTAGAGTTTACCTTCTTGCCGGAATTGTGTTTTCATCGAGGGCTCTAGTCAAGAATGTTACAGAATTTTTCTTCTTCTATAAAGCGGAGGGGCTGTCGATGACCGGTCAGTTAACTGTCTCCTGGAATGGCCCTGCTGAGGTCTGGGGAGCTGGATAGAGACTTACGAGGCAAGCTTTCCTGGTGCAGGTGATACTCTGTGCTCACGAATGTTCTCTGTCCAGTTGAAAGGTGGCAGAAGTGTCACTAACAATAGCATTTGTGAAATTTCTCTTAAATATCTCTGCACAGAAGTGTCCTAGAGGTTTTGATCTGGTTTGGTTGAATCATAGCTGATTCCTGAGCTGCTTGTGTGAAATGTCTTCTAGCCAGTTTTAGTCTCTGCCACTGCTGTCCCTTTTTTTGGGCTGCGGAGGTGGCTACTTTTTTCTAGTCAGGCTCAGATACGGAGGGCATTTGCGGTTCTGTTCTTTGGCCCCACCTTGTTTATGACTGATGTTCTTCTGAGAGGGCATCTTATCTTCCCTCTTTCTCTTGCTGTTAGTCTGAACAAAAACTTGCTCACTGCCACAGAAAGATTTTGATTTTCATGGCTTCCTGATGTGCTCCTTCTTGCAGCGGTAAGGGAGTTTGGACAGCCAGCGTTCAAGTTATTGTTTTGTCCTGCTAAAAGCTTGAGAAGAGCACCGAGTGTCCTGTCGCTAGTCATTATCCAAAGCTTATCCAGGGGTTATGGGTAAGCAGAGATCGGTTTGCCCTCTAAAATCGGTGTTACTCAGTGTAGTTTGCATGCCTGTTACGCTTTAGGTGAATTTATATGGCTTTATTGGCCCCTTAAGTGAAAATCTGTAATTCCATATAACCGGGGACTTAACGTTTACTCCTTTCCTGATCTGCAGTTCCCACTTGTTAGGTTTTCTGCCTGCCAGAGAGTTTGAACCGTTCCTTAAGAGCAAGTTAAAATTCTTGGTCCCCCTGTGAAAGCGCTTAGTAAGATACGCTGACTGTCAGAGGGCTTACTTTGGAATTTAGAGAGTGAAAAGATGTTTTCCGATCTGCTTGCACACTGCTTCAGCTGGACTTCTGTTTTTCCTTGCTGTTAGGAAGTGCTGGACCACGCTCAAAATCATGGTTATGCAGTTGGTACCAAAGAAAACAATGTAAATATTTCCCGGACTGTTTTCTGGACCTAGTCACGGGAGTTAAAATCTTGGTTGGTATTTTTAGGAAAGTAGAACTGGAAAGAGTTTCTGGCTTTAGTAGGATAAACCAAGAAATGGCAAATGTGGAAGTTCTGGTGTTTAATTCTGTATCTTAAGACTGATGGTCTGCACTGGCTTGTTAAACTGGAGAGAAATGTTCTGTATCCTTGCTAATCTGTGTGACGGTGAGTTTATAGAAGTACCGAATGGAAATTTTGTTTCATATATACACCACAAGGGTGGATAATAATGGTATTTTAAAGTGTTAGCATTCAGACCTCATGGCAGTCGCTCCCAAGGCAAAGCACGCTTCCAAATAAAAAAAGGTGTGATACGATGGTTTTGTCTGATCTATTAATTTAAATGTACAGAAAATATTAAGCATTCATATGCTTTATAAGTTGGCAGTAAAAATCCAAAACAAAACTTAGACTGTTCGAAGCTAAAAATTTGGAAGTAGAATGAAAGCGCAAAAAGATCTCTAAAATGTAAGAAAAATATTGGAAGCAAGTGTACGTATATTACATATAAAAAATACGAGCTTTTGAAATCCAATCCGGAAGCTGGTTCAAGAAAGGGTGTTAGGGTTTGTTTTTCTTGGAGCGGTCCAGAGGTTTGTGCTGTTTACAAGACCAAAACCACAACTGCTACTTGTTGGGTAGCATAAATATGGAATATGAGTTTTGTGTCAAAAGTTATGCAGTGGAGGCTGCTATAAGTGGTGATTCAGTGGTACACAATGATGCAATTAATGCAAATGAAATACTGTTCACTGCCTAACTGTAAGAAGCATAGAGAGAATGCTGCTTTTGGGCCACATCTAGTACCGGATTTATCCCTTGGTGTGGCAGCAGTAAGATGCAGTTTTGTTTGGCCTTCTTTCATTTGCCGCATTTTTACACTTGATTTCAGACAGCATTTCTTCTGGGTGCTTTGTGTTCGGCTGTGGTGCCTAACAGGAGTCTGGTCTTTTCTAATACTTTAGAGGTTTGTAATGAGCTCTTTGGCCATGGCTTCTGCGAAAGCTGAGGTGTGAAATAACAGCCACATACAGCAGAGAGACAGCAGAGATGGGGAGGTGGGTTGGCTGGTCAAATGAGTTGTCTGCACAGTCTGAATCCAAGGCAGAATCCCTCGCTGCTGCCCAAAGCTTTGAAGAGAACGGGGGTTCAGAGGAGAGGTGGGCGGGTTGTTCCTCCCTAGGCTAACGCCTTGGCTGGGTAGCGCGGCTTTAACGCAGGCGGATGATTTTGATGTTGGGGAACCTTCAAGCCAAAATGGCCACCTTGCCTAAAGGAAGCAAGTGAAAGGTTGAGGTTGATTTAGGAGCTTGCTACATATCTTGGGCGAACTGGAATACTGACTATTAAGCTTGTTTGTTCCTGTATTCTTGGAGCCTCGGAAGTGGAAAATACATCTTGAATTGCTGTTTGTGCTGAAATTCCTGATGCATTGAGCTCTACAACTTTCAGCTAAAATACTTGTTGGATTTGGTTCTATTTTTTCACTGCTATGACCTTTACATCTTTTCGCTTGCAGGTTTTATGGCAGGAATTCTTCTTATGTCCATGGAGGACTGGATGCCAGTGGGAAACCGCAAGAAGCAGTGTATGGTCAAGCTGTGCGTATCAAAATCCGTCCTGTAGTCCTCATTAATGTTCAGAACTTACTTGTATAAATGAGTCTTTTTCTCTACCAATTACTTTGACTTTCTTATCTGGTAAATAATGTATTGTGATACTGCCTGATACTGATTCAGAGGCAGACAGGAATTTGTTGGCTTTAATTTTTCTGTTTGATTGTTGCTGCTTTTACTGTGGGTTTTGTTTGATTCGTCAGCTTTGCAGCTGGACTGCAGAAAACATATTTAGGATGGGAAACAAAATCAAGAGGTCCTGTTAGACTTGTGCTATTTATGTATCTTATAGAAGTGGTTCCTTGGGAAGGGGACTTTGATCTTTGTGAGTTACGTGGAATTCTGTGTGTTACCAAATTCTTCTGTGAGTGGAGTTTTCTTAAAGTGGAAGATAACTTTTCAAGAAGTGAAGTAAGTCCAGGAAACACACGTTTTCACTTTGGTTGTAGCTCTTTATCAGAATCATGCCTGTCACGTAGGGACATCTGTTCACGTGGTAGGCACATCTTTGAGCAATGTGGCTTTTAGCCCAGGGCAGGTTTGGTTTCTTCCCCTTTTGCCGGCAGAACCTCATTTGGCAGCACAAAAATCGTGGCAGCGCAGATGTTATCCCCTCCTGTGACGTTTGGGTACTTTGTGGATGCGTAGAGGCTTGGGTTTTTTTGTTTGGGGGGTGGTGTTTTGGTTTTTTTAAACACAAGCTAAATCCTTCTCTCTCGCAGGCCCTTTAAAAAATTAAAGCCTTAAAGTTGGTCGTATGTTGTAATACAGGTGGAAAAAATGGATAGCAAGTTGTATGCTATTTGGCTACTCTGAGAAGTACTTGAACCCTGGTGGAAAACTTCACAATAAAAGTTAGATGAGCTCAGGTAGGCTGTTCTCAGGGTCAGACACTTCTTGGTTCCTGTATTTACCTTTTGAGCTTCAGTGGGGGGCTTTTTTGTGTTAGTTCAGACTCAGGTATTTAAAAGGTATAAAGCTCTGTACAAAACTCAGTGTAGCTAAAATGTAACTCTCTGTTTCTAGGAGATACACAAGAAAGTGATGTCATTACAGTTCAGCGAATGCCACACCAAGATTCGTCATGTGGATGCTCATGCTACTCTGAGTGATGGGGTGGTTGTGCAAGTAATGGGAGAGCTGTCAAACAACGGGCAGCCGATGAGAAAGTTCATGCAGACTTTTGTGCTTGCTCCAGAAGTAAGTATATGTAAGATTGTGTTTAACTTCAAATAATGATGATGGAAACCTGATCTGTAGCTACAATTTGTTACATTGGGGCAAAAATACAATTTGGCTTTTAGCGCTTGGCCGGGAGGCTATCGCTACATGTGTCACAGTATGTGAGTGCAGAGAAGCGAGTGTATTGGACCCGTCCTGAGCTGTTTTATATATTTTCTTAGACTTGAAGTATCGGAGCAGTAATACCAAGCAAATTGGAGCTTGCATTTGGGAGCTGCCATTGGCTCAAGTAAATAAAAAAAAAAACGTTCAGCTCTGCAGATCAGGTCTCTAGTGTAGTTCTGTACTTTCTTCAAGTCTGTTGGCAAGTGTGAGTATGGGTTGATGCTGTGCAAGTTACTGCTCAAATTTAGCTTTTGGCGAGAGCAGAGCTGTGTAATGGTAAAGGGTGTCTTGTGTAATTCCTACTTCGTTCCCCCCACTTCATCACAAGGTATTGTGTGATTGGTGATTAACGTTTTAGAGTCTTGTTGAATTTCTTCGTTGTTTCCCTATGCAATGCTATAAGCATACAGTCACCCCGTGAAAGTTCATTTTGTTTTTTTATTGTAATAGGGAAAATTGAAATTCCTTGATGAAACTGAGGGACTTTATGTTTAGTTAGAACCTGTGATTGCCGTGCCTTAGCAAAATTGGTTTTTTTTCTGCTTGAAACTTCCTTTTTCAGTTGGGCGGAAGTTACCATTCAATTGTTTGCTTGGAGAAGAGGTACCACTTGGAAGATGGCTTTAGTGAAATAGTCCTACTCCAAAATGTTCATGTGTACCCCAAAGCTTGTATCTCTAATCCATCCTTGTTGTTGACTGCTGATATGCCGTATATTCAAAAAAATGCATGTTGCTTTTTTACAGGGTTCTGTTCCAAACAAGTTCTATGTCCATAATGATATCTTCAGATATGAAGATGAAGTATTCGGGGATTCAGAAGGAGAACTTGATGAAGGTGAGAAGAAGTGTACATGTAGAGTTTGTCTCGTTCTTGTTCCTCTAGCGTCTATGCAGAGCTTTCAGAAGTGCCTAGAGGAGATGGAAAGACGCAAACTATATTGCATTCTCGTGGAGCATAGTAATTTGGGGGGTACAGGTTATGTTACTGGAACTATCTGCTGGTCCAAAACATTCTGTAAAATGACGGTCGTACAGTAGTACCTTGTTCCTGGAAGGGCTGAACTGGCTCAGGGTGGGTGAGGCTAGGCGGAGAATGGAAATAAGCAGCAATAGTACTTTTGCTGCCGCTAGTTTCATCAGGTAGACTTAATTTCTCTGATCAGTTGAATTTTTAGGTGAAGTGATTTGAAGAAAAAATCTAATTGGCTTTTCAAATAGGACATGTAGTTCACTTTCGTATCATCATCACATTCAGGAATTCATTTCTACTCAAGGGCTGAACTTGACGTGGGTGGTTTTTTCCTCCTCTGTTCACTGAGGCAAAGCAAATCAGAGTACAGCCAGAACGTATGTACATGCGTTCACTCGATAATGTCTGGAATTTTTTCATCTCAGAACAAAGCATCTTAGGCAATCATCCTTGTATTTGAGGTTAATCTTCTTAGTTTTCGGTACCGAGATTTATGAGCTAATAGCGCGATCTTTCTCTTTTACTGCCACCATATGAAAAGCATCTGCTGCTTTAAAAGATCCTCGAACCCTTTTCCCAGAACTTCCTAGCAGCAGTATGTCTCTAGTTACTCCTTTTTTGTGAAAATAGTAAAAAAACAAAGTCTCTTGAATGAGCGGAACGGTCTTCTATCTTTTCCTTCAGCTAATTTTGCCTTATTTTGCTGATGAAGCTTTATTTTGATTACTACTAGTTTAATATGCTTTTATTTTTAAGTGCGGCTTGTGTATGCTTGCAGAGATGTTTAAGCAAGTTTTTCTTTTTGTGTCAGAGTCTGAGGAAGAGGTGGAAGAGGAGCAGGAGGAAAGACAACCGTCACCTGAACCTGTGCAAGACAATGCAAGCAGTGCTTACTATGAAAACCATCCTGTAACGTAAGAAGTCCATTTTATTATATAAAGTTGCTTTTTCCATAAAAGCCTCAGAATTGCTTTGGCTTTGGATTCTGGATGTGATTTAACAGGCAGCTTAGGAAACTACACTTAACTTGATACAGATCTGTGTTATGTTAACGTTATATTATTTTGAAACATTGCTTCTTGAATGGAGAGAGGAAGTGGGGGATGTTCTTATGTTTGCTAGTTATTTTCACTGCTGGTTTCAAATGTGAGGTGAAACGGTAGCAACCGTGTTTATGTACACACTTAATGGAGTCTTTGTTATATAAACTTATAACAGTGAGTTGATATGATGTAATTTATGTGAACAGGTGGGTTAACAAAGGGGTGGTTAATGATATGTTACTCCTCAAATTTGGGTTGCACTTGAGGAGGAAAGTCTACTTTGTATAAGAAAAATACATTTTATTAAAAAACCAACCAACCAACCAAAAAAACCCCACAAACACAAAGAAACAAACACCACCAAAACCCTGTGCTTTTTTTGAAACATAGGAATGCCTTTTAAAGGGCCAGAACTGACTTCCGGGTTTCCTTGTTAAAAAAAAAAAACATTTCTGACATCACTAGATGATGTCTGTTAAGTGCATCAGTGATAACGCTAAATGCTGGTCACATAGTGCTTTTCATGAGAAATCTTATGGAAGAGGGGAGTCTGCTGGCATTCTTGCTCAAGATAATGCAGGAAGTTTTTGATGCCTAAAAGCATTGTCAGGTCTTGGTTTTGGGTTACTGTGCCAATTGGAAAGAAGTTGTAAAGGCAACGTTCATCACATAGTCACTTAGGCATATGCTAACCTGTGGCAGGAGCTGCATAGGCAGAAGTATTTGGAATGTGGTAAGCTTTTGGGGTGGCCGAAGAAAGAAGTGAAGAGCTTCAGATCCTTTACATTTTGAGCACACAGAGTAGAGAAGAAGTTGCGTGTGATTTTCAGTAAACAAGACACAAAATTCCTTTGGTAAGGAACTTGTATGGCATTTTTGTAAATAAGCTGTGGGTTTCATTCCAAAATTGGCTTCATTTAGGTGTATAGCTTGATCTTCCATTGGTCTCTCGCTGTGCTTCTATTCTTTCAGGAGCAGCAGTTCTTGAGTTTAGCACCTATTTTTTAAAGGGTTTATAAGTCTGTGTGATTTTCAGATTCTCTTTAGAGAATTGTAAAACACGTCTTTTTTAAAATCTGGCTTTGTATGCAACTACAGGGGTAGAGCTTAACTTCCCACAGTATTGTATATGTAGGTGCTGTATGGTAGCAACTGGAAACAGAATGATCTTTTTAATAGCAGCCATTACCATAGCATAACTTATAAAAAGTCATAAAGTGCAAAGCAATTGGTAAGCTGCATAAAATGCGTTTGATTATTGTAGCAATGGGATAGAGGAGGCGCTAGAAGAATCGTCTCATGAACCTGAGCCGGAATTGGAATCTGAAACGAAAACCGAGGAGCTGAAAGCTGAAGTAGAAGAAAAGACCCTTGAGGAGCTAGAAGAGAAGTCTCCATCACCACCTCCTGTAGAACCTGTTTCATTACCACAAGAACCACCAAAGGTTAGTTAAAAGTCCTATCTGTGCTTCTAGGTGCAGATGGTAAACCAGAAGATTTGGTTTTGAACTTAGCCTTTTTGAGTGGCCAAACTGGTACCTCTTTTCAGCATCATGCTGTATGAACAGCTAGACTTGAACCTTGAACGCGTAAAAATGCAAAGTTTCACTAAAAAAGGAAAGAATGTTATTTTGAAGTGCTGCTCAAGTCACCTATTGTAAATTTAATGCTCTGCTTGTAAAGTGTGTGTGTGTGGTTTTATGCATGTGTAAACCTTTTAAAATGTGGAGTTAACATATGTTAAGAAAACACCTCAAGCTACCACCAGCAAAAATCTCATACAATGGGAACCACTGCTCTTCCTTGAAAAAAACCATAATGCATTGACACGTGCAAAATTGCTGGCAGTATAGGTTCAAAATCAATATGGGGGCATTGACTGTCTCCCTTAGAGGCAGGATGCCTAATCCTAAAAACCACCGAGCACACCGTGCGTCATCTGGTATGGTTACACTTAGGTAGTTTGAAAGAGATGGGAGGAACCGGTGAAAGCTGGAGAGAGGTCATTTTCTAGCTCCAGCGTGTCTCCCGTATGTTTTTTTTTTCCGAACCTTTTTCTCTTTTCCATTTTTACTTCTAACTTCTGGCATCCACTTTCTTTCTTTGTGTGGAAGACACTTAACACTACAGGGTTTTCGGTCCTAGGTTTGGTTACATCACGGAAAGCAGTGACCTGGGGATGCTGAGGGAACTGGGCTCACTCAAGTAGTGATAGTGGGCACGGTACACACTTGCTCCACGCCGTTGGAGTCCACAGACGGCTAGAGCTGCAAATCCTTCTGTATCTTCGATGTAATGCTTGCACAACAATTATTTAATAGTCGGATATGAACCAAAAGTGTATTTTCAGCAGACGAGTTTCCCTGTAGGAATGTCAGTGGTTTGCCATGATTAGTAGCCTAGGTTTGTTGCATTTCCTGCAGGCTTTCTCTTGGGCTTCAGTGACCAGTAAAAACCTGCCTCCTAGTGGTACTGTTTCTTCCTCTGGAATTCCACCCCATGTTAAAGCACCAGTCTCACAGGTAACCCATCTGTGAACACCTTGGATTGTCTCATTACTTCTGCAAACTGCTTCAGTTTTTTAAATTAACAGATCAATTTGTTTGACTTAAATTGCACAAATTAATTGTGTCTTAAATGTTAATGCACTCACCTTCTTGTCGCAAGCGAAGGCACGTACACGTAACAGGTGTAACTTTGGGTGATGGTGACGTTAAAATCTGTTCATGTGGAAACAGGAAATCACGACTGAAATTTTTTTGACCTATCTTAATGGGATATGGTTTGGTTCACAAGGGAAAAAAAAACAAAACGAAACAAAAAATCAAGTCCCCACAAAATGGTAGTTTTCTGAAGCGTGTTTGAAAGAGGTATTTCACTGGCGGAAATGCCCCAGTAGTGAAAAGGGATAGCACCTTTTCTGAGAAGGTGCAAGATTGCTTTGTAAGGCTAATGTCTACAGAAGCACGCTGGATTTCATCATCCATTTACAATTAACTTATCACAGAACCCTGTACCAACTTATGACTGTGTGGGGAATGGAAGGATTCACATTTCCTTGCCAGGACAATGCTATCTTCCCATTCCTAGGTTGACTGGGTGAGGAGGGGAAAGAGGAAAGAAAGTTTGACTGGGTGATGGCTCGTGTCCCGCACGTGCCAAGCTGGTGTGAGATGGTCCGAGACTCTCAATTCAGCTGCCTCCGTGTGTATAAAAATCCTCAAAATAGAAAATGTGTGCTTTAACCTCTCCTACTGACACTGTGTACCAATGCACTCTATGTCGTGGTCGCTCATGTCCAACCCTTTTAAAAGACTGCAATTTTCAGTGGAGCGGCTGGGTTATTGCAGCTGTTGGTTTTGCACTGGTTTCTTCTCCGTTTTTTACTGACGGAGAGGAACGTGTCTAGGATGGCCCTTCAGCCAAATACATGTGAAAAAAAAAAAAACCCAACAACAACCCACCAAAAAAAAAAACCCCACCAAAAAAAAAAAACCCACAACAAAAAACCAACACCTTGTATGGTGTTGCTTCTGGTCTGACAGGGCTGTCATGGAAATCAGATAATGGCTATGTAAAGAGTTGGGAAGCCTGTGTGTCTTAATCAACTTCAGCAGGGCTTTGAGCGTTTAGGTGGTATTTGAGCCGTAAAAACTGTGTTTTTTCTAGTACAGCACAGATTTTCCTTACGCAAAACCAAAATTGGTTTTGATTTATTTGCAGTAGAGATGGTGGATTTTTGTAATATGACTGCAAAAATCATTTTAAATTATCTGTACAAGAGTGCAGAATATAGCTTATAGATGTCCCCTTAAACTCTTTCGTGTTGCCTCTGCAGCTTGTCGTGCTTTCTGCCTTTTAGATCACTTTTGCTGTGACTTCATATTTAAGTAATTCTGTGTGGAAGTTTCTGAACAATACCAAAGCGGCAAGAATTTAAACTCTCAGCTCTTCTGGAGACCGAATTAGTCAGTTCTTAGCTCCTTTTCTTTCACACTTTTTAGACATGGTATACAGAAAGCTGGTAGAAAAGGCACCTGAAAAATTTCTACAAGGGGTTACAGATCAGTAGCAGCTTTTTTCTGTTCCCTTGGATCCATTAATGTCAGATACTGTGCATGTAAACGAGGACAGTAGATTGCACTAGTGGGTGGGTGGCTCCTTTGGGATGCTGTTCTAGCCCACGTCAGTGATGTTACAAAGCAGCTGTTAATTGTCCTTCTCATTCCTTTCTCTGCATCGCTCCAGTTTTTCCCCCATCTTCTATCAAGTTAAAAATATAACCTCTGTAGTGTTAACTCAGAACCCCTCAAAGGACTGCACACGTACTGTTTTGGATATAGACCAGTTCAGTTCCTGTTTATTTACAGCTGTGGAGTTAAACAGGTCAGCATTTCTTGCTCTTTTTCTTTTTGTGGGCCATTAGAAATCAACCTGCCTACACTGATAAATCAGGCCTTCTCTTTATAGCATTTTCAGAGATTCTGACCTCCCATTTGCGTTAACACATCAGCTGTCGTAGGGGTGCCGGAGGGGCGGAAGCAGTCAGGGTCCTCCCTGACTCTTGTCTTCTGGCTTGGAAGTGGTGAGTTCAGGGAAAGATCCGTTCATAGATGCTGCATTCTCTCACCACCTGAAATCTGTTCAGACTCTGGTTAGACTCTTCAATAATCTATAGCGCCTTTGTGGAAGTGATTGATAAGTGCCTTTAGTAAGTTGTGTGGTCCACACTGACCTCAGAGACAGCGTGGTAGCTATCTGAGGTATGCATCTAACCTAGCTACTGGAATTCCGGTGAGATGATGTGGGGTTTTTTCTTTTGTTTCACGTGAAGCGTGGTTTCTTCTTTTTTTTAATTGGCTAGTTGGTTTTTTGCATGCATGCGTTTTGATTGTGGCAGGCATCTCGCTCTAGAGAAACTTTTAAGCCTTCTAAGATGTAAAAAATAGAATTGTACCAGTCTTTGGAGCCACCTCGCTCTTTCTGTCCCATCCTCCTCTGTTTCAGGGGGGTGTTCAGTTCCAAAGTTGGTGAGTAAAGGCTGACTTGTGGCTGGTTTTGCTGTCATTGCCAGTAGCGTTGCCGTAGCAGAAGGAGGTCCCTTTCCTTCCCCATGTGAGCTCCTGAAGGGAAGAGACATTGTCACCTTTTCCTTAATTGTTCTGAAAGCTCCGTTAGGCTGAGGTTTGTGGCATACTTGGCTCCTGGGCTGAGCGCTCCTTTAGTCGTTGTCTGTTGAAATCCTTCGCCTGTCCACTTTGTGTGGTTTCTGTGAAATTAGAGTTGCAATTAGCTGCTGCTTGGGCTGTATATGGCAGCCCTTAATAGGCATCTTGTGATGCTGGTAATAATTGCAGGGTTTTGGGGGAGCACAGTTTTGCGCAAGTGCTTTCCTCTTCAGGCAGTGCCAGAGAGCGCTGAGGCAGTCTTCCCCTGTAAAGAGGGATGGTACTGATTAGAAAGCAACTAATGAGATTAGCTGTTTGTTGTTTGGATAGACAGAGAGTATTTGTGGGATAGACGAGAAGTTCAGTGAAATGCAAAGCAAGCGGGTAAAAGTTAACTGTTATTTGGGATTTCATAGAAGGACATCAGTGACTTAGCAAGTCTTTGCTGTGGCTGGCGGAAGGACTGAGTGTTTAAGCCTGATAGCCGTAAGTATCTAAGAAATGGGGGTCTGAATGTATTGAGTTTCGCTTTTGAGGTATCATTTATAATGCAGTAAAGATGTGTGAGTAAAAGACGGCAGGGGAGCTCCAGTGACCCATGAGGAGATGTAATGAAAAGAGATTTAACAGGAAGGCTGATATTTCTAGCTTATTCTTGGAATGGAAAAAATGATCCTAGAAATGTTGGAAGGACAAGCTAATGCCTAGCTGGGTAGAGCACAAGTGATAGGAGGGCTGAAGCATTTATTTAGTGCGTAATACCTGCACGTTTCATGTAAAATACAGTCTTTCTATCCCTGTGGGGTACTCTCTGGCTGGAACCGTCAGTTGTCTTGAGCCCTCAAAGGAAAATAAAGGGAGATGTTGAACATAAACTACTTCTCCGCAGCAGTCTGGGCCTATAGCCGTCGTCCTTGTGTTTAATCTTCCTCGGAAGCTAGTGTTCTTCTTTATGCTGCTAAGGATAATTTTGTTTTCCTAAGATAAGAACCCAGCACAGCAGCAGCTGCTGGACTGTTGTACCGAAAATGGAATTTTAAAAATGTTGGAAGTTGCTTCAGTAAGCAACAGGCTGCGTAGAAATAGTTTTTATTTTTCTGTCTCTTTTTCTCAAATTATCTTTAAAAGCATCTTTTGCTTGCAAAAAATAGAATAGTTGTTCCAGTTCCTGAGAATATGAAGGGTGTACTTTGAGCATCATGGTCCTGACATCAGGAAAGTTGAAGAATATCCTCAGCAGGTAGTCTGTAGAAATTGTCATTTCGGGTGGCTTTATTGTATCAGAAATACTTAGGACACTTCTGAGGGCTTTTGTTTTGTTCTCATCTTTCTTTTTGGTAGTTTCCTTATAGTTGTTCTGCACTCGAGAAAAAGAATCCCTCAGGGACTCAGACAGAAAATGTGATTTGCCCATCTCTTCGTGTTCATCTCGGAGTACCTCCTAATCTGTGAAGTTTGAGCTTGGCATGAGGAAGCTTTATTTGATCTGTGTGGGGTTTTTAGTCAGGTTGAAGGATTCATGAATAACGGAGCGTTGGGGTCTCAGTGCCTGGTCAAACATGGAAAATTCACCTTAGCCATGTTTTGGGGAGACGCTCTGATTGAGAGATGTTTGCTTTGCACCTTTTAGCAGAGATAACTGAACACTGCAGTCCTGGATTGGTACAGAGGAATTTATAGAGGTGGAAAAAAATGTATTCCCAAACACATTGACATGGATGTATATCTTCTGGAGTTCGTTTTGTGCATGCCACTTATTTATGTCTTGTGTTGTGGGGGTTTTTTTGTTTTGGTGAGTTTGGGGTTTTGGGGATTTTTACTGGGCCGATGTTTAATAATGCATGTTCTCCTCCTGTTTTAGCCACGAGTTGAAACTAAACCCGAAGCTCAGTCTCAACCTCCTCGTGTACGTGAACAGCGTCCCAGGGAAAGACCGGGTTTTCCACCCCGAGGACCTAGACCAGGTAACGTGGATCAGCTTGTGTGTCTGCTAGTTAATGAGAGGTGTCTCCTTGACGGGACTGGTCTGTACCTGGGCTTGTATGTGGCTGATAATGAACTGTCTGTTCCTACTGCCTTCAACTAGAAATGGGGGAATATGATATGGAGTCCAAGCTGGTGATGAGTTGTTGCAAAGATCAGGCATTATTTCCAAGCTTCTGTTTTGTTGAAATGTTTTTTAGTAGTCAGGCCACTCGCTTATATGCTTGAGTACTTTTCATGTGGCTTGATGCAGTTCTGAAAAGCTGCTGTGGACATCTGGTGGTTTTTTCCTTGTCTTCTAATTTTGCTGAACCTTGGAAGCAAGAGCTCTTAAATACCTGGTGTTGCTCTTTGTTTTGGAAGAAAACCTTCCCACCGTGTCAGCCTCAGTCAGTTAATAATTTTATACCTATTTTCCATATTGTGTAATTGTCTAAAATACTGTTCTCAGTTTGGCTGCCTCATGTTTGTCTTAGTTTCTGAGCAGGCAGTTCTCTGCATTTTCTTACTCATACAGGGTATCCAAAACTGTAGGACGGCCTGGCTAGGAAACGTGCACGTTACTTGACAGTCGTCAAAAGTGGTGTTGAGAGGTGAAAGCCTTCTGAGTTGCCTTCATCTGTCCAGCCTGGTCGCTTGCAAACCTCTGCGCAGCGCTGGGCGAAAGCTGTTTAGTCAAAGGCCCGGAGTCACAGGATGTTGATCAGTTCATCGTCTTCCCTAAGTCACGAGTTCTAAGGGGAGGGGTGGTATTTGCAATTATCCTGAAGTGGTAGTGTAAAGCTGGCGGGAGCTGGCAGAGCGCTGCCTGCAGAAGCGGTTAAGTCTCACCGACTGTAAGCGTCTCCACCAACTCCAGCTAAAATTGGTTTTAATGAAGGTTTTCAATAAGTGCATACCAAACCGTGGTACGGATTGGGCTTAAAAGTGCTTTTGGCTTTGATCAATGCAAGTGTATCTTCGCTCGGGGACAACGCTGAAACTCAAAGGATTTAAGGCACCGAGAAAGAACCGTGACATCTGTTACAGGTTAACATTTCTTGGTATTTTTAACGTGTCATCTGCAGCAGGGAGCAAAAGCTGCAACTTGTGGCTAAATCAAGTTGCAAATCTGCATTTCTTCTGCTCTTGGATGTAATACAAGTTATACAGAAAACGTGTAACAGAGCCTGAGTGTTTTAATTCTGATCTTACACTGGTGGGTAGCAGAGGCAGGGGAGAAAAAGCTGATATCTCAGTTGACCAAATGGTAGAGCTACAGCCTTACGGTCTTATTTTCAAAGGAAGTCAGCGAGCTGTTTCATCTGATTAAGGAAACCTTTCAAACGAGCTAGCAAGCTTGCTGTAAATGGGCTCGTAGAGGAAGCTGAGGAGAGAAGGGGGTACACACCTACACTGTAATACTTCAGGTACAAAAGGGGTAACGGTGTGCTGCTGTCACACTGCAAGGCAGGTAATGATTGAATCGGGAGTTACCGGCAAAGATTTTATCTTCCATGGTGCTAAGCATACTAATACTTCGGTTGAGCTGGAGAGAACATGAGGAACCCTTGGGAACATGAGGAACTTGTATTTGGGACAGAATGGTAGAAGATGAAAGCCAGAAGAGGTGACTGGCAAACATTGTTTCTAATACGATACTGTTACGGTGCTAAGGAATTGATGAAGAGGTGATTCAGATCCAAATCTTTTTAAAAGTACGTTTTAATAGGTAGCGAGCTCCTCTTCAGTATCACGATTTAAGATACAACTAGAACCTCTTAAACAAGCTTGCCCAGTATTCCAGATGTTTTAGTTAACATGGATTTATTTAACCTATCCAGGGAAACCAGACGAAAAGAAAACAAACACTTTTTGGTATTATTACAAAATTGTCAGGACTACGTAAAGAGGAAGATCGTATCCTCCCGCTCTGTCACCCATGGTAAACATAAGCTCAAGAGCTGAATGTACAGAATTGTTTGAGTGAACGCGCTTGCTGCTGTTTGCAGATGTGTTCATCCGAATCTACAGACATCCTCTAACCTCGGTGGCTCTACCTTCTTCTTTCTGTTGACAATAGGGAGAGGGGACATGGAACAGAATGAGTCGGATAATCGTCGAATAATTCGCTATCCAGACAGCCACCAGCTCTTCGTTGGGAACTTGCCGCATGATATCGATGAGAGTGAACTGAAAGAGTTCTTCATGAGTAAGTAGCAATTTTGGCTGCGGAGACTAAGAAGAGAAACTGTGTTGAAAAGTCACATAACCTTCACTTAGGGCCGCACAGGGGAACTTTTACACGATGTAACGCTACAGGTGTTATCTGGAACAAGCGGAGGGGTAGTAGAGCTGGCACTGTCGTTTTTGGTAACGTGGCTTTTTTTTTTTTTTTTTTTTCCCTAGGCTTCGGAAATGTGGTAGAACTTCGCATAAATACTAAAGGAGTGGGAGGAAAACTGCCTAATTTTGGTTTCGTGGTATTTGACGATTCTGAGCCGGTCCAGCGAATTTTAGTTGCAAAAGTAAGTATTGGCTTTGAGTAGCCTTCAAAGGATGGACTGAATGCCCTAAACCCCACGTACTGTGGGCCATCCCAGTTTGCGTTGCTGTTGTTTCTGGCATTCAAACAACAGTTGTAAGGAAAACATAGCTTTGGCGTAGTCATTCTGTCAGGAGTGTTCTGTAGCTTACAAAAGCTGTGCCAGCGTTCCTCAAACCACGTCATACGGAATTCAGGTTTTTTACCTCTGCCCATAGACATCACATGGAGCTCAACACTTACTTTTAGAGATCTTTTAAGCTGAAAGTTGAGTACGTAACCTTTTGAAGGGCATCACATGCATTTCTGAATTCTGCGTTGGGGCTGAGAAAAAGGAGCAAGGTTATTTGCGGTTGTGACTTGAGGAATTGGAGAGGGGAAAGCAGCAGTTTTCACTTCTAGCATGTGGGAGTGAGACCTGGTAGAGCAATTCTCCAGGAACTTTAGCCCTGGAGTGAAAAGGCTAAAGCCGGCAGCGAAGAGGCTAAAAGTGACCTGGCCCTTATTTGAGAAAGACATTTTAATTCCTTGCATGCCAAATGAATTTAAAAGTGCTGTTCCATTTACTGTAGACTTCTAGGGCTAAGGCAGTTAACCGTTAACAGTTAATTTTTGTCTTTCGCATGTAAGTGCAGGTAGGCTGAGGCATGCAGCGAAGGCAGTGTTTTCATATGCCTTGTGTAAATGGACTATGTGAAATGGTGACTAACGTGTGCCTTGAACGCTTTTCCCTGTAAGCCTATTATGTTCCGGGGTGAGGTGCGCTTGAACGTAGAAGAGAAAAAAACAAGAGCCGCTCGTGAAAGAGAGACCCGAGGTGGAGGCGATGATCGTAGGGATATTCGTCGCAATGATAGAGGCCCTGGGGGTCCCCGTGGAATAGTGGGTGGTGGCATGATGCGAGACCGTGACGGAAGAGGACCCCCTCCGAGAGGTGGCATGGCACAGAAACTTGGCTCTGGACGAGGAACCGGGCAAATGGAAGGCCGTTTCACTGGACAGCGTCGCTGAAATCTCCACTGTGGGCAGACAGTCTTGGCAGTGGTACATTATCCATCGTGTTTGCATTCTTGTTAATTTTTTTTGGCTTTGGAATGTGACACAGCCCTTCTGATCATTTCTTTGATGTGAAAGCATCCTTTGGTTTCCAGTTTAAATTGAGGTGGACGTTCTTTCCCCAGTTTCACAACAGGAGTCACACTGTTAATTTATAAATGTAGACTTGGAGAATTGAGGACTGGGAAAAAAAAAAAAAAGAAAAAAAAAAAAAAGAAAAAAAAAGACCGGTTAACTATCTGCAACAAAAGTGAACTAAAGGACATGCCCAATAGAATTCAGGTCCTTTCAGTCAAAAACCCTCTGCTGCACATTTTGTGTAAGTGTTACTGTTTCTGCCTATTACTGTTGGAAACACAAATAGTGCAATTTGTGCAATTGGAGAAGCTTGCCTTTTTTTTCCTTCTTAGAACACTCGGCTCCAAACAAACTCGCGTTTACGCACTCATCAAAATGCACTAATGGGTACTCTGAACTCATTTATATTGACATCTGCAGGAGGCATCGGAGGAAAAAAAACCTTCATCCTCTTATTCAGACAGAATAGCTTGTGAAACGATGCGGGCATCTGATCTGCTTGCTGTGACCAACATATGTACACACACAAACCTTAATAAGACTACAGGTTTATTCCAGAAGGAATCCATTTAGCTGTAAACTAAACAGAACCCAGAGTTTCCAAGTCGTAGCCCTGAGTACGCAACGAGTTTGATAGCTCACGTCAGATTTTTCTATCTGCCCCTCTTCAGTACAGGGATGGCTGCTCAACACACTCCTCCTTCCCCTTTCCCCTTCGATAAGCATTGTACAGTGAAATTTGTCTTGACTGTATTTTGAGTTCTCTGGTAATGTAATAAGCATGATGGTGCCTTCTATGAATACATCATTCCAGTCTTGCTGGTGATTTTGTACAGTATAGTGTATGAAAAGCTGTGCTGCAAAGCCAATCGGCTGCAAAGCATTTAAAGGAAATCATTGAAAAATTGTATTAAAAAAAATTGCAGTATCTTTCAATCAGTAAACGTTGCTAAAATTATCATCCACCTTGCTCTTCAATTAACAAGTTCGCCTGTTTTTTTGCAGAGGGGGGGAAGGGAGGAAGAAGGCATCCAAGTAGTCTCCAGGTTGTCTCTTCTCTTTAATCAATGTCTAAGTTAAAGAAAACAGAGTTGAAATCTCTCTTGGACATACATTTCGGAAGTCAGTCAAGAACGGTGAACGCTTTTGGCCAGCTCGTGATCGGTAGAACTGAGCATCCTTTGTGAGGGTGAGCTTATCAAACGAGGATACTGCAATTTTCAGAGAACAAAACAGCAGCTCTTAAGTATTTGCATTTTCCAGTTGCGCTTTTTTAAAAACTCTTACTCATTTTGCACATAGCTCTCAGCTGAAGTTGACACTTATGTGGCTCCGGACTGAAGGATAGAAAGGAGACCTCCTCTTCTTCAGTTTGACCGGTGGGTTTTTCCAGTGGAGAGGTCTGTTTCTGGATGACGTTCTGGAGCACATTCCCGTAAACTGCAGCTGCAGCAGACAGTACGGTTCGGCTCGGTGCCGGGGCGTGCAGCAAGCACCGGCTCTGAGGCGTCAGGAGTAAAAGCGGGGGTGGGGGGGGGTGTTTGTGTGTGCGTCTGTGCGAAAGTGGGACCGCTTAAAGCTGCTAAGCACGGAAGACCTCAAATAAAATAATGGCAATTTCAAGCAAAAGCAGATAGGGCATCATAGCGATCTGTCTCTGGATTATGCAATCATTTGCTGTTTTTGAGTAAGTTGGAAGATTTTGCACATGTTTTTCTGATACGTTAGGCCAAGTGAAGTGGCATCTGTCTGTTTTCTCCCAGACTCGAGGTCTTCTGTGTTCGATGGTAAGTCTTGCACTATTTTCATACACTTCTTTTCCGGGGCACATTTCTACCAGTTTCCATTTTCATATTTCAGTTTTTCGTTGAAGGTCTTGCATTTTCAGCTGTTACCTGGAAATCTGTAGTACTTGAACTGCTCGCCACGCAACACCACTACTTAGGTTTGAAGCCTTCGAACAAATTGCTGTCGTCGGTCAGCAGTTTGCCACCGGTGTGTTTGTGTAGCATTTTTTTTTTTCCTTCCCCTTTTGTAATGCTGTGGTGTTTTGCTGCCACCTAATTCATTTGTATGGCAAATGGCACTGGGAATAATCTCAACAACAAAACCTGGAGTATTAAAAAGAGCTACTGAGCCATTCTGCTTGCTGGCTTGCTTCTTGTTTAAGTGACGTGAACAACCGTTGGAACGTCATCCAGAGAAGTTTACATGGTGATAGCTCACCTGCTGTACTGTGGACTCTTACGTGTTCTCGACCCTCTTGATAGTAAATGTACCTCTTAGAGCAAAGGAAGGGATTCACTGACCATTACTGTTAGTTGCTGATTTGTGGATGGTGGGAGTATTTTGTCATTACGGTTCTACTTCAACAAACTTGGCTGACCATCTTGGCTTTAGTAGGTATACAAGACAGTGGATTACCATCTTTATTGCTGTAACGTGTCAAGCATTATATGCTAGTAGATTCTAGTTTAATTGTTGCAGGTGGAAAGTATTTTTACTTTTAAGTTTCCATTCTGAATGTGTTTTGACTAAACATACCAATAAACTACTGATGTCTGCAGCATTTATCCATGTCCCTAATTCTCTTGAATGCAGGTTGCTGTAGAGCACCGTTTCATCCCTTGCTATACAGAAAATGCTTTTTTAAGAACATTGTTGCTGCCTTGTCAGGTGGCGGCGGGAAGCCGCAGTAGCGCAGTGCCGCAGACTTTGGTTGAAGGGTTTGACTTGAGTCGAGTCGATGAGCTCTGGTTTGCCGTGGCTGTATCAAATCCTTTCCTGGGACGCTGGCTTAAGAAGGCACAAGGGTCGGAAACCCTGCCAGGGCCACCGAGAAACCGTGCCCGGTCCCCTCGTGGCTTGTGAGGGGTCCTGGCGTGGGTCGCTCCGGCTCCAGAACGAAAAGGCAAGGAAATTAGACACTGTTTCTTCATTCACAGGCGGCCGGCAAGGCGTTACCCTCGGTGCGGGTCGGTCCCCTCGATCTGGCAGCTCCTCTCGCCGCGGGGTGTGCGTGGTCCAGGGAGGACGCGAGCCCCTCTCAGACGTGTCCCAGGTGGGATTCCTCCGCGCCCCGCTGGGCTCTGGAGCCTGCGGCGTCCGGCTTCGGGGGTACAGCTTAAGCGGACGCTGTGATGGTGCTGGGAGGAACGTGAGCCGAGTTGTCTTAAAAAAACAAATCTGGAGTTGCTTGCTGTCAACTTTAGTGTCGCTTACTCTTGATACTGCGGAACCGATTGTCATACTGCAAGATAATCTCTGTTTTTTTCCCTTCTTGTGTTTGGTAGCATTGCCAGTGCCAGCACGCTGCTTGTAGATGAACTGTTCTGAGTCATGGAATCCACGCGGAGCTGTTCTGCTCTGGGTGAGGTTCCTGGTAGCTGCTGTCGGCTGTGTCTTGAAGTCCTCTGCCGAGTGCATGTCTTGGCTGTAATATTTTCTGCTAAATCGCAGTTGGGAGGTGTCTGAAAAGTTACACAGCGGTGTGAGTTGAAATACTGGAATGAAAAAACGAGATCCTGTAGCAGACCCCTAAGCCCAAGTCACCAAAAACTGCTCTTGAGGAGCAGCCTCAACAGCTACGAGATCTGCTGGCGCCAAAGATCCCCGAAGAAACACGATGCCCTCGATGCCGTCCCCTGGGGCCTGCACCGTTCGGACCTTCACGTTGCTTTATGAGGTGCATATTTGTGGAGGCCTGCAAACTCGCACTCATCTGGGGCTGGGGAGGAGGGGAGGAGATGGCGGAGATGATGGTATCTGAAACCAAACAAGGTCGGCCAGGATCTAGTTTTACTTGTGCCATGAAGCCTTACGTATTTAAAATTGTCCAAGAGCACATTTTATCAGCACCTGAGCTGATGTTTAGGCTTTGTGAATGACTATGCGTAGTGATCAAGCTGTACTTTTTTTTTTTTCTTTTTATGCGGGTGAAATGGAGCAAGGTAAAAGCCAATCCATATGCGTACCACGGTGATAGCTGGGGGGCTTTTAGTGGAGATAAAAAAGTGAGGAAGTGCCTGGAGGCAGCTGAAGGGTGTCAGAAGGCAAGGACAGGTTCAGTGCTGCGGTGGCCTCACCTCTTCCCTTGGCGGTAACCGCATGCAGACACAGCCCGCGCTAAGGTAGTGTTACAGATTTTTGTGGGCGTGATTTTAGAAAGGCTTTTGCAGTCACAGCGATTGCTGGGGGTTTGCGTTGCATGTGGAGAAATACAGCTTGGAAAAGTGGGTTTATTGGACATGATGGAAGACGATAGCAGGCTGCCTGATAATCCTTGGGAAAGCTCCTCTTGGTGTCCTCCTTGCAAGGGGAAGAAAAACAGCTTGGCACGTCAGCGTGCCTTTCGCTTGTGTTCTGACTGGTGTCTCCTGGGCTTGAGCTGAAATGCTGAGACATCTCGGCAACGGTGCTTCTGACGCTGTCTGCAGCACGTGCTGTTCCCTCTGACAAGCGGGAACAGCGTGAAGTACCGGGGGTGGGGTGGGGTGTATTTTTGCGTGTGAATTAAAGTTGAGAACAGCTTTTGCAGATGCTGACACGATGCTCTTCTAGGCTGCCTTATTTCAATGCAGTTTTAACTGCAGACCTTCCCTTGAAATCCGAATCCCCTGAGATGTGAGGTACAGGAATTAAACCCAGAGTTGGTAAAACAAGGCATCGAGTACTGGTGGGTTTTGTGCCCCCGTTGAGACCTTAGTAGCCCTGCTGGGCCCTGCAGCATTTACAGCAAGCGAGTCCCAAAGTGCAGCAACTGCAATGCTGCTCTGGGCAACGTGTTGTCACCATGTTTGTCCTGGTGGACCAAGCACACGAACTTGTAGGAGCTGTTGTGCCAGCAGCAGGTTCGGAGAGGGTGCGCTCTGCTGGAGTGCACGTGAGGGAGGTGAGGGGTGTTTGGGCGTCCATTTGGGATATGGAGAAGGTGATCATTTGGGTGATCAGAACCGAGTCCCCTCTCTGGCTCGGCTCCCCTCCGCAGCAGAGAAGAAACCAGACTCTCTGGGAAGCCCCTGTGCAGAGCACGACAGCTCTGCCGTAGCCTCTCCCAGAGCAGCGCAGGGGCGGGAGCAGTACCTCTGCACCGGGCCGCAGCGTGTGGCTTTTCCCTCTCGGCAGGTGCAGCGAGAGCTGCTGACGTTTCCACGAGAAGCAAGGAGCGATTGGTTTTTCCCTGACATGTCAGCCTCTGCTGATCTGCTCCCTGCAGCGCTGTGCTGGGGAGGGGTAAAGCCCTGGGTTCCCAGACCTGATGTGAAGATCTCCAAGCTCCAGAGCATGGCCCAAGAGATAGGATAAAACCCAAAATTTTATGTGTTGTGGGAAGAAAAATAGCTCAGTGGGAAGCAGGTTGGAGGAAGGACGTGGTGTGCACAGCAGCCGCGGCCACTCGCTGCTGCAGCAGTGCTCGGAATCCATCAAGGTGCTCATGTGAAAGAAAAAATAAATAAAAACTCTGAATGTAAAACATGTCTAGGCTAAGGCTGATGTTCCTCTGTAATACAATGTGATGCAGAAACTAGCACCCTTAGCCAAGGGGTGTCTGCAGCGTGTGAAACCTGGGGTGTTGCTGCTTGGCCACAGGCTGATGGATGGGGGCTCCGTACCGCAACTGTGGGCTCACAGGACTTTGAACGCAGCCCTCCCTCTCCTCGGTCCCCTCGGGCAGGGTGGCCTTTGC